GGCGTCTCCGGGCGGCCACTCTAGGAACTTTACACTAAATATCACCAGCACTACACGAGTTACTTCCCTTAGATCCTCTTTTGCTCGTTATGTCTTTTCCCACTGGCCGAGTTTCGAGGGTTTTTGTTTTTATCACCTGTCTGCATATGGTCAAATTTGTTCTCATTATGAGTGTCTTCTTCTCCAAGAAAGATGATACGAATAATATGGAAGAGAAACAGAAACTGAAGACGACGACATGGGAGATATCCTTGTAAATTGTTTTCGGAATTTTTTTCTCATTTTTTCGGTTATCAGATTTAAAATATGGATATTGTGAAATTGTATCCCGGAACTATATTCAGTATCTTATATGTATTGACATGACAAAGAACGATAATCATCACGGCTATAACAAAGGATTAGAATTTTTATTTTGAATAGATGTTCTTTTCCTGTGTAACGCGTCGATGACTACGCTGTCACCTTCATCAGGCAAAAGACAGGTGTGTGGGACATATCTTAAGACCGTGTACGAGAATGTATAAACATCACAGGCCTTGTAGTTGTAATCTATGTTCATGAACGTTAAGTAGTGTGACAAAATGGCGATAACATTACAGTGAAAACAAGTTGAGCAGGTGATCTTCAAAACGCACATTAAGTGGTATCAATGTAATATCAAAAGAAAGTCGATTTATCTAGGTTTTGTTAAAACATAGTCATAGATGTGTGAGAGTCTATTAGGCCCCCCTCATCCCTGTTTAGTATCGGCTCGCAGAAGTGCATCTGGTTCGCTTCATTGACCTGCCGCTTAAAGAGATGCTTTTCTTTATCTGTTACTTTGGAATTGTCCTTGTAATTGATTTTGCTGTGTGACATGATCGACTTAATAATCAAAGATTCGGATAGCCTATGATGAATTGTCTGTCTTCTGGGATTCCAAGGTCTTTCTGGCATTTGTCGAGTAGGATGCCAAATCTTCTTTCAGTCTATCCGACATAAGATGTGACGCAGCTCTTGCTTCCGATCATGTATACGCATTCCGGGACGTTCTCTTTAGGTATTTTATCCTTCGGATGGACTAGGATGCTTCGGAGAGTCTTGTGAGGCTTCATGACTGTTACAGTACGATGACCACAATGTATTATCTTTACAGTTTCTGATAACCCTTTTTACCCCACAGCCCGAAAGGTGTGGGTTATTGCGATTACGCACGGCGTCCGTATGTCTGTCAGGCCGTCCGTCCACAATTGCATTCCGCTTATTACCTCAAAACTACATCACCGGTCATTACCATTTTCACTCGGGATGTCGGGCCTATGGATCTACACAACCCTATTGTTTTTCTTCACCGCGCGATATCCAATATTGCGGTTACGGGCGCCATCTTGAATTTGCATTTCGCTCATTATCTCAAGAATGACAATACCAGTGGTCACCATTTTTACTGAGGATGTTGGGTCTATTGTCCTATACAACCCTATTATTTTTCGTCGCCGCCCGATATCCAATATGGCGGTTACGGTCGCCATCTTGAATTTGCATTCCACTCATTATCTCAAGAACGACATCACCGGTGACCACCATTTTCACTGAGGATGTTGGGCCTATGGACCTACACAACCCTATTGTTTTTCGTCGTCGCCCGATATCAAATATTGCGATTACGGCCGCCATCTTGAATTTGCATTCCGCTCATTATCTGAAGAACGACATCACCAACAATAACTATTTTCGCTGGGCATGTTGGGCCTATGGACCTACACAGCCTATTGAGGTTCTTCACAATCTCAGCCCTGCACCCAACTTTATAATAAGGCTGTGGGGTATTGCCCGCGTTAGCGGAGCTATTTTTTTTATTTGATATCATTCAAACATGACGGTATCATTATGACATGGACCTGTGGTTTTTTTTTTGTGACAAATTGATAAAAAAATATAGTTTGATTTCAATGTTTGTATTGATTTCGTCACAATAATATAGCTCGCTTTGGCATACATCGGATGTATATTGTTGCGGCCTCCGGTACACGCTTTTTCCCCGTAATATTTTGTAAATACGAATTTGTCAATATTACATCGTGATGATATAAGAAATTATATCTAACACCAAATGGATCCAAGGTACGTTTAAGTGATAAATTAAGCTTCAAATATGATATTTTAGCTATGTGCCAGCAAACACACACAAACCCTGGAGGGTGACGTGTGTACTGGGATTCGCAATCGCAATCCTGATCAATGGGACGCAATTCGGGATCTCAAGGAAAGTACAAGCCAAGGGTCTGTTACTGAAGAGTTTTATTACCTGTTTACAGTCACCGACTTCACAGTTCGACTTAACTCTATGTGAAACTCCTTGGGCTTACATACACAATATCGCAGCATCGCAAATACCTCAAGTCAGGGGAAATGGTTCGCAAAAATCGGGATTTAAACGCAACCAGGCCTAAAATGTACACAAGTACCGCATGGCCTGCATCCCGCCATACACTTTTTCACCTTAACAAGTTCCACACGAAGAGAAATAACTCTTACCTGACTGCAGTAACATGGCTCCCCAAAATTAGGAAGACTAATCTTACACTTTAAAGGGATAACAATAAGTTGACATTTATTGGTAAATTTAACACTATACTACCTGTACTTATGTTTAAGCATCGGGTTCCTCGGTGGGGAATTCCCCAGTCTCGTGCAAGAGCACCAACTTGTGTACTGGTCGTTCAAGAAAGCTCAATTGAGCATTTCTCCTGCCTGACTATCCAATCCTGAATCGCCGACAACGACTTGAACCTTTCGTACTAATCCGTCTTGTCCTGGAAAGGTTGTTTCTATCCGGCCAAGACGCCACTGGTTTCACGTTTGGCAGTCGTCCTTAATTAGAACAATATCGCCTTTGCGCATGTTCCATTTCTGACAAATCCATTTGCTACGAGTTTGCAAGTTTTGCAAATACTCCTTTCGCCAACGGCCCCAAAATTGGTTGGCAAGATATTGGACTCGACGCAATCTCTTAAGACAGTAGAGATCAGTTCGTTGGAATTGACCCGGCGGTGGCAAGATGATCTTTGATTTTGATTTTAATAAGTGGTTGGGTGTCAAAGGATTCACGGAATGGGGGGTCGTTCAAATTGATCACAGTGAGGGCCGGCTGTTGACGATAACCGCAGCCTTGCACATGAAAGTCCTCAGTGTTTCGTCATCCAATTGAGCATTCGAGTGCTGCATTAGTGATGAGAGCACATTTCGTACAGACCGGATTTGTCCCTCCCAGACTCCTCCCATTTGGCTCGCAGAAGGTACATTCATTTTGAATCCGATGAAGTCACAGCCTTCTCCTGAAAGATAATGCTGAAGGTGATGATCATCAAGCTTCTCAAGGGCCTCTCTGAGTTCACGCTCAGCACCAACAAAATTTGTGCCTCTGTCTGATCTTAGCTGTCTTACAGGACCACGAATCGCAAGGAATCTGCGCAACGCATTGATGATTGAACTAGTATCTAGGAAATTTGCGGTTTCCAAGTGAATAGCGCGACTTGACATACAAGTGAAGAGAACTCCATATCTCTTCGATTCTTTTCGCCCCTCATTGATATAGAACGGCCAAAACAGGTCCACTCCACTGTAAGTGAACGGGGGTTCCGGAAGTAATCTATCTATGGGTAAGTTGGCCATCTTCTGTCCCTGGGAGCAACCTCGCAATTTACGACATTCTACGCATTTTGATATACAGCTTGACACCGCTGAACTGCATCCTATAATCCAAAACCCATTGGCTCGGATTTCATTTGTGGTAATCCCATGACCCTGATGATTGGTACGCTGATGGAAATGACGAATCAAAATTTCTGTGACATGCGACTTCCTTGGAAGGATTGCCTGATGTTTCACATCCGCACTGAATTTTCCATGTCGAATACGTCCTCCAACCCGAAGAATACCTCTTTCATCCAAAAATGGATCCAAGCCACAAAGGGCCGATGTACCCTTCAAACGACCATTCTGAGATCCGTCTGAAGCGTCTGTATTTGAACCAAGTACACGGAGACTACTGATTTCATCTGTGAAGACATGTTCCTGAACAAGCTTTATGATTTCAACTTGGGCGGTTTGCATGTCACTGACAGACAAAGCGGTACTTCCTGTAGGTTTTGCCATGATCGGTTTTTGTACAGACCGTTTCTACAAAAGACGTTTGAACTTCAAACAATGGGCAACTGCCTTCTTAGCCCTAGTCCAATCAGAGAAATAATCCACACGGTCAAATAAGGAACTGAATTCAAAACACTCTGTCTTCGCTTTGAACACCTGAACACGCCTGACCTCTGGGTCATTTGATAAAACATCGTCAGTACTTGCGAGGGGATTACTTTCTCAAAGAAAGCTGGGCCCTTTGAACCAGTTTGTTCCCTTCACCAACTCGTCCGCCGTGGCGCCACGTGAAGCAACATTAGCAGGGTTGTTTTCAGAACTGACGTGCTTCCATTGGGATGGTTCACTTTGATCGCGGATCTGCTGTACTCGGTTTGCCACAAACACGTGGAAGCGTCTAGCGTTATTGGCGATATATCCAAGGACAACACAACTGTCTGTCCAGAACCATTCAAGCTCCCGACGTAGCATAGAACTAACAAGTACCGACACAAGGGTAAGTTCCAACCTTGGAATTATCATGGGTTTCAAAGGTGCTACTCTGGCCTTTCCCGTCACCAATGCACAATGTACTTGTCTTTCACTATTGACAAGCCTTATGTAAGAACACGTGAGCTTGCATATTTTCGAAGTCCTTTGGCTTCAAGCATCGCTTTATTTTAACATCCTTAAGAATTTGCAAATCTAATCGCCAACGTTCCCACCTCATTCACAAGGGATCGGGAAGTGGATTATCCCAATCTGCGTGATTCTAACACATCTCCTGAAGAATATGCTTTCCTACCAGTATGAAAGGTGAGATGAATCCAAGTGGATCGTAGACTGAGCACGAGGTAGATAACACACCACGTCTGGTTAACGGGCGATCATTGAGTATAATGCGGAACTGAAAGGAGTCAGACTCAATGCACCGCTGAATTCCGAGAGCTTTTTCTACCGGGAGCTTATCGGTTGAGATATCAATGTCCTTAAGACCTTTGGCTCTTTCATCTTGTGGAATGACTTTCAAGACATCCTTTGAATTGGACAGAAACTTGTGCAGGCGAAGACCACATTTATTTAACATTTTCTGGCTTCCCTTGATCATGTTGACTGCTTCCTCAGCTGTTGGTAAAGACTTCAACCCATCGTCAACATAAAAATCACGTTTCACAAAGTTTGCAATGTCTGGTCCGAATTCGGGCTCACAATCTGTTGCCATTTGCTTCAATCCAAAGTTTGAGCAACCTGGCGAGGATGTCATGCGAAATTCAGCAAGAGGTTTCCTTGTATCTCCATGCTCCCACCACAAGAACCGCAGGTAGTTGCGACATTCCTTGTTCACCTTAAACTGGTGGAACATCTGTTCAATATCACAAGTGAATGCGATGGGCTCCTTATGGAATCGACAAAGTACACCAACCAGCGTGTTGGTAAGATCCACTCTCTGCAATAGGTGACTATTCAAAGATTCACTTTTGTATTTGGCGCTGCAGTCAAAGACAACTCGTATTTTGTTCTTCTTCTGTGGATAGTAGACTCCATGGTGAGGAATGTACCATTTATGCCCATCATCAAGGTCAAGTTCAGCATCAGGAACCCTCTCGGCGTATCCCTTTCGTATCAATTCTTCCATAAAGGTGACATAATGACCCCTGTATTCACCATCGGTGTTTAAGCGCCGTTTAAGGTGCTGGAGCCGATGAAGCGCTGTGGATCTGTTGTTCAGAAGGTGCGGCATAGGTCCCTAAAATGGTAATGGCATCTCGTAAAATTCATCATTGACATGGATACTTTCCTTCATTAACGCAAGGAATTGTCGATCTTCCTGAGAATATGTCTTGTTTGCACCTGCTTGCTCACTGAAGTCTTGTTCCAACATTCTTGTAATTTCTACTGGGTTAATTACTTCCTTGATACTGCACCTAAACGAGAACACAATATGAGTAGAAACAGTGGGTAACAAACGGCTCGGTACTTCACAGACAGCACTTACATGGCTTGTGCCAACTGGATCTCCAATAGGTGTTTCAACATAGGCTTTGTCCACAATCCCAACAATGCCCCAACCAAGGTCTGTTCGTTGAGCATAAGGTCCATTGTCTGATGGGGCAATAACATCACGAGGTGCTAAAGCTCGAGAGCAGTTGTAGCCAATCAGTAGTCCTACTTCACAATCGCTCATTGGCAAGCTATATGCCTATTTGGTAAATACATCTTGCCATCTAATGTTGTCAGTGCAGTATATTGTGTGTGATTGCTGGCCAACTATTTACAACATGTCGGGGAGAAATGGCACTTAAAATGTTGATCTCGTGTATATATGCACGATCAAAAGCTTTAAATAAAGGGGAGATAAGTAAGTAGTAGAATGGAGCGGAGTAATTATTTTAAAAAGCAAATCAGTAGCATATCCGAGATACAATTCTTTATACAGTGACTGATATAATTGCGTTATGTATATTTCTGACTAATATCGGTTTTCAATAAAAAGGTCACCGACATAATACACAAATTATGCAAATAAATCTGGTTTGTTTTCTGTTTGTGGATACATTTTAGACATAAGGAAATCTTATGACGTCATTCGGTACCATGTTGACCTACGTTACCAATCTCTACCAGAGTTGTCGTTCCTTAGCAGTCACAATACACTTCTGTAAACAGCTCATGAACTGACATGAACCTCGCGGTTAGGTTCAAAGTTTGACATCGTGCCAAACAATGGCGGCATCCCTGACAACATCAACTTTTTGAGATTTTATATATAATATTCTAGCCACAATATATCAACATGTATCTCAAGAACACGTCTGTAGTTGGAAATTGAAAGTATGAAATGTAAACAAAACTTTGGTGACAGTTTACTCAAAGTTAATCTTCTGCTAAATAATCTACAACTAAATAACCATACAAATACAGTCAATTTCCAGATGAACAAACACGTATTGTCAAAATATTAACACGAATAACAAAACAGAAAAATAAGGAAATGCTTCATCATTTGATAAAAATAAGTCTTTCAAGAATCTTGAAATGGCGTGAGCCTTTTATAGAGGTGTTATCAGGTTACCGCAATGCACTCTGGGAGAGATTGCAACTTCTTTCTCACAGTCTACGGACTTTGCATTATTGTGACTGTTAAGGAACGACAACTCTGGAAGAAGTTGGTTATGCACATCTCCCCAGATACATTTAACGCACTTGTAGATTTACATCTGATTCAATCATTTAGAAGATTATGATTTTCATGAAGCTGTTCCATTAAATAAACGTACATAGAAAAACTTGATGAAATAGATATGGTTATATTTTTAAATAATACATGAGTGACATAATACGAATGACTCTTCATTAATCATACAAAATAATTATTTCACATTCTTTAAAAGCATTACACTTGGTCCATAAATATCATCTACAAAAATACATTGGATATTATTTAGTGTTTTGTTATCTCCAATTTCGTGCACGTGATGCAATCACTCCACTAGCCACAACTTATTAACTTCTGTAACAGAAAGACAATGCTTATAATTTTGAGGAAGTATTTATCATAATGTTAAGGAACAAATTAGGTTTGCTAAATAATAATATATTTCTGTGAATCGGGGAAGTGGGCTGGGTATTTCGATTGCCTGTTATGAATTTTCCGTTACTATAATGAATAAATTATACTGATATTTCACCCAATCTATTGCGTTTCAATGTTGATTCGATAAACTAGTGTCTGTTCCCAATATCTCGATCTCAGCGATACCTTTGGCAATGCTGACAGTCGAAGGTTGGATAAACAAATACAGGCTTAAAACCGGATCGCTATGATGGTCTTAACTGGAATTCTCTATTTCTTTTTGAGATATATAGTTCAGCGTAATCGATGCCCCTTGGTTGGCTTTATTGGTTCGTTACCATTATCTTGCACACTTCGTTTTATGAGAACATGTCATTAGATGTTCAATCAAGATTTGCACCACTGGTTTCATCAATAAAGTAAATAAATTTCTCGAAACTTTTTTTGATTTTTTAAAAGGTCTTTCAATATTTTGTTTTGTTTCCATTATTAAAAACTTTTGAGAACACAAGAATTATAGGCTGTCCAGGTAAAAATATATTTCAGGTGTTTAAAATTTAAATCTCTGGGGATTTATTTTCAGTAGTTTTACACGTAGGACTTTGTTTGAACAAACTCGTGTGCAAACTCTGTGATATAATCCATGGAAAGCACCTTTCTTCCTGGTCGTTCTAGTGAGGGTTTGATTTACGTGCTGTAATGAATTCCAGTCCTGAACAGACTATATACATGTATCTCTACCCCGTAAATAACAGATAACGACATTCCAGAGAGTAATTCCGAACTTGTATAAATCTTTAACACTATCAATTATTGAGGGATATATATTGGACGGGATGTGTATCCTTGGAGGATATACACAGTGAGACATCAGAGATCCAGGTGCACAGCTCGGGTACTAAAATCGAGGTAGGTACAAGATAGATACATTTAATGTTTATAAGGGAAAACTCGATTTGTCCATGGTTTTATAAAGTTACAGTTAAAATATTTTAAAGTATAATTTGTATATGTAAATATATATATTTGCATCAACAAAACAAGAAAAGGATTAAATACATAGTATTAAAAGCAGCTAACCAAACTTATTCCATTTTCCTTAAAGAATATGTGCTATTTGTTCAAAACGTTTTAGCATTTGCTTTATAATTTTCCTCTTCAGTTTGTTTCCTCGTTTTTTTTTTATTTTTGTGTCATTCATCGGTTTTTTGTGATACGTCCTTGTCATTCATCGGTTTTTTGTAAGACGTCCTTGTATGCTAGCTTGTGGTGTATCGTGTTCTCTTTCTGTAGACATTTGAATCAACACAATTAGTTTAACCTATACAAATCATGCAATAAGCGTACAATATATTTATAAAAATAGATATAAAATAGCAGACATGCCTATCATTATAGTGACCAACTTAAAAATTAACGAGTTGTTTTGTAAAGAACAAATAAACGCTTTTGG